ATGCCATGCATTTCATCAACTATTCCAGCAAGTTGAACTGGATGAAATTTCATTGACTAAACGACGCAGATACCTAACAATCGAAACCGAATCAGGGCTTTGAGGTGACTCAAAATGAGGTGTCTCTTCGAAGAGTTCATCCGCAATCACGTCTTCATCGTCTCCGTCTCGTTCTTTCAGCACTTTCAAATCGATCACCGCATTTCGACGATAATAGTCAGGTGTTCGTCCTTCCTGAATTGATCATGTTCAGGTGTCAAGTTCAAATCCGACCTACGCTATGAACCTTATGTGAAGTAATAAGTGTATTGATAACAACTTGCAGAATGCAACCAATCAAAATCAAACGATCATACGTTATCGACCGCAATCGGATCAGCACCCGCTTTGCCCAGTATCTTCAAATAATGGCCTCCATCGCGTGCTGCTGCTGCATAATGCATTGCTGTACGTTTGTTCTAGAACAGAAGCAAAAAATTATCTAATTTAGCATATTTCGAATGCATGCAGCTTTTTGCGAATTCAGTGAATGGGTGGGTGATTGCGGACAGTTGGCCGCATTCACGACGCAATACACCTCATTACCCGTTCGGTATTACGGCTTCGGAGGATTCTTTGTTGACTTTTTCATCANATCATAATGTGTCAACATACAACGATACACATCATCCGAAAATGTTACTTATCCTATTTCGTCAGAGTGCAATTTTTTCATACATTCATCGTTCATAATACAAGCTGAAAATCGTCTAATTGTTTGATGTCCACGGTTGGCACAAAGGGTTCACGCCACATTCCATTGAATGCTTGTGAACAGAATTATGCTCTCATAGGAAATTCATGATCAACTGCAATATGCATTCAAAAATGCGACGCTTTGAAAAGCTGAATGAATTTGCATCAAAATTTGTAACGTGACCAACATAGTCGGGTGCATTCAGAACAGACGAAAAATTTGCCGCAATATAGCGAATGATTTCGGTCTGTTCGTGAATGACAGCCGTGTGCAGAGGCGTACAGCCATGACGATCACGAGCCAATGCCAACTTCTTCGAAACGATCGCTTGTTTCACCTTGTTCAGATCACCTTCTTTGATGGCTCTATGGACCGCTTCAATTTGTTCCTTGAATATTTCAGATCAGTTCAGTAATCATACAACACCTTCATCAAGTAAATATAATTATCGAGTGTTGTTCTCGATTTTATGAACTGAGTTTTTCATTGATTTTGGTCAT